GTGCAACTTTTTTGTATTTACAGTTTTGAGGGATAAGCCTCTTAAATTTCTCTAACTAGAAATATATGTTAAAAAAACAAAAACAATTTTAAATTTTTTTGTAGTTTATTGCATTTTTTTGCAATTTATGTAATTACTATGCACTTAATGCAGAGATATTATTAAAATTTGGGCTATGATGGTTGTATTGATGTATATCAACTTGAAATGCTCCCAAAAATGGCTCCACAGTATGTAAAAATATAATATAAGCTCTGGTGGACTTGGTTCTATGGTAGGTCTTAAAGGGTTAAACAATGCACACACACACCTTATCAATGTAGGTATCTCCTTGTAACACAGCATCCAGCTCATGGAGATAATGCAGCAGCCTGTCCTCGACTTTCTGGCCATACCGTTCCCCATACTGCTCGTCCATGTCATTCTGCAAGACAGACAAAATGCATCATCCCATTAAAGTCAGCATAATAAGTGCAAAAGTCTTGAGCCATACCCCGTTTCTACGTCCAGATGGGCAGAATCAACTTTTTGGGTTTTCCTTACCTGGATGATTGAGCATGCAATCATGAAAGACGTGTTTGGGAATCACTTTGTTGGTGCAAAAATGTGATTTTATGTCTGTCAAACTGCTTGAACGATTCATGCTAAGTGTAAAAAAAAAACATTTCTCTGGAAGTGGTACAAAGACTGAGAACGAGCAGCCAATGTCCAAAGTTCTAGCACATTACTGTTCCTCCACACTTGATCACTTTTTCAGGTTGGCAGCCCTACGACTCTGCAGTCACGGAAAGATTTTGTACATCGTAGCTCTGCAGCGCACCCTGCTGGCCACAGTTAGGACCGCTTCATTTTTTCTCTACTAAGAAATCTAGTTGTACAAATACATGCAGGGTTGCCTTTATGATAATTCCAAACATTCGAGGCTTGATCAAACCCGACAGCAGTGTGTCTCAAAGCATAACTTTGGGGAAACTGCAATGAATTTATCCAACAAATCCCAAACTGTATGATTTAGAAATGTGCTGAATGTGCACGAATCACTGAAATGTATATAGAATATTCTGGATCTGTCTCATAATCACTTAAAGGAGATTTACCTTAATGTAATGTTCAAGTTTGTCTTTGTCCATAGCAAGTGTTTGTGCCAGAGTCCTAAAGTCCAGGTGGTTCTTCCTCATGAGGAACATTTCACGTTGGCTCTGTGCAAAGAACACATAGAATCACCTGTTGATATAAGTAAAGTTTTTCATGCAGGCAACTGTAACTGTTCCCAAAAGCCAGTTCCAGGTATGCTATCACATTTTTCAATATGCAACTACACAAAATGTTATGAACGATTTACTTTATTTACGGAATAAAAAAGCCTCGCTCGAGGCTTCAGAAAGACGAAAGAGAAAGAACGGGTGAGGTCACAGCGATGAAGTACATCTATTATATACAGTCTATGACAGCACGCCACCAGTGTGCCATCTGTGAGGAGGCAAAAACTAACAAATAGTTCAATTCAATTTTATTTATATAGCGCCAAATCGCAACAGCAGTCGCCTCACAACACTTTATTTTGTCAGGACAACATACAGAGAAAACTCCATCAGTCAAACAACGCAGTATGAGCACTTGGCGACAGTGGGAAGGAGCAGCCTCACAGACTGAGGGAGGGGCGGCCATCTGAGCAACCGGTTGGGGGGTGAGTGGAGGGAGGCAGGAAACCCCCCCCACAAACTATGGAAGACATCCAGAGTTTGATGCTTCCTGTCTGGTATCTGAACTTTTCCTTTAACTGTCTTGAATATTTCTTATAAAAATGTATCATTTATATTCTTAATCCTGCTGTAACACAATCATTTTCTAAGTATGTATCCATCCATCTATCTTTCTTCCTGATGTCTAAGGGGTTCGTTTAAAGGAAACAATCGATGCAACATGTATAAGACATTTATGAGAGCTCAATCAGCCACAATAATAAAATCATTGACAGGTGAACAACAGCCATCACTGTGTTCCAGTGCTGAGTTCTGCTGGGAAACCTCGGTCTCGACATGTTTTACCAGCCAACCAAACACTGCAGCGGACAACAACACTGCTCAAAGGTAGCAGCCTCCCTCAGCAGGACACGACAGCAGCAGCACATACAAGCTCATGAACATAACAAAGCCTGGACGTGCCAGAACAAGTCCAATCCTGTACCCCACTTAGTCTTCAGACCCAACAGGACACCCCCGGAGGCTTTGTGCCCCAGTGGTTCGGAGCTGTTCGGTGAGTTATGCATAATATAAGGCAGGTACTTTTAACTCAGTTTTGGTCTCCACCAGTTCAACAGTGGCTTCCAGTTAGTTCTGGTGCAGGGCAGGTCACTTACACACTGGTCTTGGTACTCGGGGAGTTTGCTCGGGAAGAACTGGCCGATTTTTGACACGGTGTCAACCATTCCCCGGCCCTCTTTGAGCATCCACATCATGACCTGGAAGGAGACACAGGAACCACCAGGAGGTGAACGTTCACGAAGAAACAACCCCATTTCACATTCCTGTACATGCTTACTGGACCACTACGTATTTCCCTACCATGGTCTTGAGGCCAAACATGATCTTCATGTGTTTGATGGCAGGAACCAGTCTGGGTAGAAGTCGGTACGTGGTTTCCAGAAACCCTATCGCCCTCTCAAAGTGCTCCAGGTCCCTGCTCTTTATGATGGAATAGACCTGAGCAGAGACGACGCGCAGCCTCCACGAGTCGTCCAGACTCAGAGGTTGGGAGTCCACATCTGGCCAGCTGGACAGGTCCAAAACTGTGAGCGCACAAAATGAAGCCAGCATGTCACAAGCAATAAAATACATTTGTTTCTAAGACTTTCTTTGTCTCTGCTGTTTGAGATTAGCTTTGCAAGTTTCATGTATACGTTTCTTCTACATCAGTATAAAAAAAACACTCAGACAAAGGTGTTCAATAAAGTTTTTGTTGTGTTAAAACGTTTTATTAAAATCCCCAGAACCAACCTTGTTGTATATCCATCATCTTGTGAGTCCAGACATGCTCTATGATCCACACAGGCAGCTTAGAGAAGCTCTGCATGCGTCCAGCCCGCAGCTCCCCTCCGTCCATGGCTCAGCTCCGCGGGCTGTGTGGAGGGAGACGGAGGAGAGCATCAGCCCGCTGCACCTACTTAAACCCCCGAACCACCACAGCTGGACATGTACCGGCAAGTTGAGGATGTTACGCATCTGAACATCCCCGGCTTTTTTTTAAAAAAAAAATGTTGCAAATAACTTCCTTTGCATGCCTTTATTTAGCATTTCAAAATAAAAGCTTAGGAAGCAAGAAACCCCGTCTCTCTCTGTAACACCAAGTGTGTCATATTTGCTTCGTATTTGAGTTTTTCAGACTTTGTCATCGGTGTTATTTTTTCCCTCCTCGAAAAACTAATAGATTGCACAAAGATTCAGCAAACATGATACCAGGTAACCTTTTAAAACCTGAACCATCAAATAACAGCCAGAAATCTTTCATTTTTTGATAATGGAGTGTTTGTTGAACCTTTAGACAAAATATATCTAAAAATATATCAAATTTTAATCTGCATATATGAGTTTTAATTTGTATCACATTTGCTACATTAGCCGTATGTTTGCAATTTAGTAATTAAAAATGTGTCATGCAATTTATATCATTTTTTGAGGGTAAAAAAAGTCACGCTGATGATGTAGAAGTCTCATAAACTCACAAAAACACATGTATCAAATACGATATGCTTGGCTTTAAAGGGTTACAACTCGAGTACAAGTTTTTTTAATTGTGAGAAGATTCAATTCAATTCAACTCGATTCTAAAATAAAAAGTATCATTATTATTTGTCAACTATTTAATGGTTCAGGCTTTAAAGGCCTAACAGACATTTACCAGTTTGAGATGAATCTGCTGTAAAGTTGAACACAGTACAATATAAAATAAAAAGGAGAAATAAATGTTAGAGCATTATATGGATATATAGAGATATAAACTGATGAATATTAAGGTGTTTCCATCTTTCTTCAATAAGTTTATACGTTATTAAATTTTAACTAACTAGTTAACTGTATAAGAATTGCTCAAAATCAGTCATCAAGATTTAATTTCCTATGATGATTAATATCTATGCAGCCAATAAATGTGTCTAGTGATTCTATTTGTTTGTTTTTATTACAAAGCATGTTAAGTGATGCAATCATCTGATCCGAGCCACGGTCTGAGTAATTCACTCACACATGCACTGTACACTTAGATCAAGTCCTTTGCACTACTTTTGAGCACTTTGTTCTCCCATGTGTGCCTTTCCTATTGGCCATAATTGGCCCATATTTCGTTGTACATGCACAATGACAAAAAAGGGCTGCTCTATTACATAGGTAAGCACATGGACTTTTATTGTGAAAGCGTGGTTGACCAGGAAGAACTTTACCGGAGCCGTGAATGTCTCTGCCCTGACTTCACCCTCCAAACTATGTGGTCTTGTCTAATCCACAGCGGAGCTCAGACGGTTCTATGAGGTAACGGGAAGCTGCACGGCTTCATTTTTGTTGCGCTCAGTCAGTGCTGACAGTTACCTGACTTTTTATTTTTATTCATTGTTACATCAACATGCTAACGACCTAGCTTCAACAGCTCACGGTCGCTCTTGAACTGGCGCGCGTGTTTCGTTGCACCCGGACAAACCGCTAGGTGGCGTCTGACTTAACGCTAAACAGGTGTTTCTCTCATTGATGTGTGCTGAGGGTAATATTAAAGAGCGTGATGTAAGAAATCATGCGGCGATATAAACAAGCTTAAGTGTGGCTGCTAATGCTAGCAGCAGTTTGTAGCTCTTGGGCTACAAACTGCTTATATTTCAATTTCAGCTTATATTTCAATGACAGAGCTAACCATCGAGCTCTCTGCATCAAACGGCGATGCTTGAAAATAAAGAAGGCCATAAGACTTACCGGACGTGTTAGTTGTAGTCATTAAAATAAAATGTTTGTCCACTAAACACTTAAAAAGATTTTTTAAAAATTCCAAGTTGCGGCCCTCTCGTGTTAGCCGGTGTCCGCCATCTTTGTTTTGGTTCGGAAACACAGGTGCGACTTGGGAAATTGAGTTTTTTTGTTATTCTTCATGACGGCACCATTACCAGTTTAGCAGTGTTGTTACGGCCGCTTTAGTTTTTCAGACATCACAGTTTATTTTTTATTTGTATGGTTACCTGTGTGAATGAGAGCAGGAGGAGAAGATCGGTGAGTTTAAATACTTGGGTGGTTTCCAAAGCCTGTACAGTACACAGGGAGCTGAAGAAGAGCGTGCAGGCAGGGTGGAGTGGGTGGAGGCGAGTGTCAGTGGTGATTTATGACAGAAGGAAAGCATGCAACTGAAGAGAAGGCTTAGAAGGTGGTGGTGAGATCTGCTGTATGGTTTGGAGATGGTGGCACTAGCAAAAACAGGCATGGGGATGCTAGAGATGCGGTGGCAGATGTGATGATCTGAGGTGACCTCTTAAAAGAAGAATGAGCAGTATTTTAAACCTTCTTACTGACGGAAGTCAACAAAGTCTCAAAAGATATCTTTGCTTTCTCTGACCGACCTAAATGGCCTCCTTTTGTCTCTTTGTCTCAGTCCCACCATGAACACGTCCTCGGTGTCTCTGCTCCAGCTCTCCTGGACCGGGTTCAGACTGTATGCATCTAAAGGCCATCGCTCCGGAGCCCTGAGCCTGATGGCAGCAGCTTCCACCCGTCTTCCACACATCTCACCCTGTAGATGCTCCTTATCCAGCAACGTCAAAGTGCGCTCCTACCTGCAGTACGTCAAACGCAAGATCATATCCCCCCCCAGTCCTCCGTACAGCCACGTGTGTCAGGTAGGGGACCCGGTGCTGCGTTCACATGCAGCTGCTGTGGACCCTTCAGCTGTAACGGGACCTGAGATCCAGCGTGTCATTAAAACTATGGTGGCAGTAATGAGGAAGCTTGAGTGCGTGGGACTGAGTGCGCCTCAAATTGGTGTGCCGCTCCGGATCCTGGCTCTGGAATATCCCCAAAAAATGTTGGAAGAGAGCTCGCCTGCCACGAGGGAGGTCCGCGGTCTCTCCGTCCAGCCCCTAAGGATCTTTGTGAACCCACAGCTGAGGGTGCTGGATGGTCGGACGGTGCTGTTTCAGGAGGCCTGTGAGAGCATCTCGGGCTTCTCTGCCACGGTTCCCCGCTACCTGTCTGTGGAAGTGTCTGGTACGCATGCTTAAAGCTCAACAGTGACACAT